ACCCTCACATCCCATTTGTATCCAGGGTTAAATTTGTGCTGAACTCTACATTTTTATTGGCCCAACTCACTGAGGGAGTGGGTGGAAAACACAGCTTTTTCTTTGCTCTTTTTCTGGATTATATCATACAGCATTTTACTTCCATTTTAAAATAATGTCTAGTTCATTGGCTGACAACAGGCCTGCATCTTTCACCTCAGTGTCACATTCTAGCCTAGGGTGGCTTCTGATGTAGAATATAAACGGAGGTTTTCAAGTTGACCCTCAGCCTCTGATCAGGAGCTGCCCTTCACACGAAGAGCATACATTTTGAAATAAATCTCATTTCAATTCTCAGATTCTTGAGAATATTTCAGGCATTGGGAAAAAAAGGGCACGACTAGCCCATTCACTACTCACCTTCAGCACTAAAATTTTGTGAATAAATTGTGGAACAACTCAGGGGGAACAAGTTTTTTTTAAAACCAGTACCAGGGATAAAAACACAACTAGGATTAGAACGAAATTACTAATACTACTACAAATCAGCAGCTCCATGAAAAATAATGCATTGATAATCTGGTCTTCTACAATTGTGCTCAGAATATTTTAGAACAAAGGTCACATAATACACAAGTATAATCATATATTACACACACACTTCACTTGACCTTAGCCAAAAAGCCAAGAAGTGATTGTATCATATATTAGAATTATTATACTAGTGCCTTTAATATCTCACATATTAGAGTTGCTGTCACTAAGAAGTTACTTGATGGAATGCCACAGCAAACAATAGTAATCATGAACTAAAAAGCTTTTATAGGCTAACACTTCCTGTTGGATCTGTTGTCTTTATTGGGGAACACACTGAATTCAGATTGGCACCATTCTTAACCACATTAAGCACAGTTTCTGCAGGCCTGCTTTTGAATTGTTCAGAGCCCTAAACATTAATTTAGCAAATATTGGCTCCAGCCCTGTTCCTGTTAGTTTCATTTTCTCTACATCTCAAACAATATTTTAGAACACTCTAAACAGATGGTGTTATACTTTCTGCCCAGATTTGTGCTTATTTCTCATCAAAACAAAAACTGCAGCTATCTATGTTAGCATACACTACAACGAAGGTACCGTATTTACTACAAATGATTAAGCAAGTCATATACTCCAGTATAAATAAATATAGTGTAAATTCCAATAAAACGTACCATCAACATCACCATCATCATCGCTGTCATTGTCATCATCATTGCTGTTTCCCTTCTGTAGACCTAAACAAACTGAAGGAGGAAAGTAAGATTAATTGAAAAGAAAAATTTGGGAGATTTGCCCCATCAAAAACAAGAGCAATCCTTACACGATGCTAACAGGAGAAACACGATTCTCAGCCACTTTGGCATCTTAAAGAAGAATGGAGAAATTAACTTTTATTTTAAAAAAAAACCAAACCCTGCAGTTCTTCAGTTGCCAAATGTCATGCAATAAATATGAGAAGTTGATCTACTGAAAAGTTGCATCAGTTTCTGAAAAAAATCTCTTTGACGTTTATCTGCTTTCAAAATTCCATCCACAATATCCTGATGATAACAAAGTTATCATTTAGTACTTGAAATGTGAGCTCCTTGTCATCTTAAAAGCCTTGACTTTGAAAAGGCCAGCCTTCTACTACCAGACAACCCCATCACATGTCTTACAGCCCTTGACAGCGTCATCTGCTAGCTTATTTTTGCCTTCTAAAAGAGGAAGTTGACTTGAAACTGAGAAAAAAAAAGAATTGACAGCAGGAAAGGGAAGGTGGGATGTCTGTACTGGAAAAGGAAAGAGAAGCGCAGCAAAGGCAGAAGTGGTGGGTCTTCCTCTTCCAACAGACAGCCTCACTATGGCGTAGTCAAGTGGATAGATTGCTGGTCAGTTCAGTTTATTGTTAAAGTCCCTAAACCAATCACACAGCAAAAACAAACCTCTAAAAATTTCCAAAATTCCAAATACTTCATACAAACCTTTAACATTAAAAGACAATTTAAAATCTCATATCTAATTATTGTAGAATTTCCGAGACCCGAGTATCATCATGCAGAATCTGGCTACCTGGTAACTGATATTGGGGTCTGTATCAGAAAGATGATGATCAAGTCTGCTTTTTACTGAGCAAACAGGACTTTTTTTTTTCAATCAATGAGGTTGGGCAATTGAAGAGCATGTGCTCTGTAGACTCAGCCTCCCTTAAGGGACACGTACAACAAAGCCTTTTGTATGTTGGTCATACATATACAGCAGGTCTCTGCACTGAGGCAGTAGAGCAGGAGCTGGTTGTGGAGGTGTTTGATTCCTGTACCTATCATGTAAACAACCGGTGTGGTGAATGGGAAGTCAGGGCGGGGCTGGAGAGGGCAAGGTACCAAGTAGGATCAGCAGGTCCAGCCCCAACTCTGCCCTCAAATCAACTCAGAGTTGAGAACTAGAACAAAGCTTTGTGTTGGTACCCAGCAAAATGAAGTCATGTACTCAAAAGCTACATCTACACATGCAGCCTCACGTCTTCTAGTACCAGGAAACCCAGGAAGACTATGTATGTGTCTATTTACCAAGCCTCCATTCATAGCATCTCAAACCATTGCCAAGCATTCCTTCCCCAAAGGGCCTCCATGTTGGTGTCACAGCTCAGGGACGGTTGCATAGGGGAGGATTTTGCTTCATGCCAGTCGCATGTTTTGGTGATATCTCTTAAGTTGCACTTTGGATTCATCAATCCATGTGGAATAGGACTGTTTTCTTGCCTTGTCGTGAGGCCACCCACTTGGTTATCCAGAAATGAAGACAACAATCTCAGTGTCAGCTGAGAGAAAGTTGATGGTGACAATCCTCTCTGACACGGAGCAGACATGATATTACTGGTTTTTCAGATGTAATGATGGATTCAATATATTAGGTTTTCTCATTTCTTTCAGCAGCAGCTGTCACTCCCATGTACATCTACACACACACACACACACACACACACACACACACACACACACACACACACACACACACACACACACACAGAGAGAGAGAGAGAGAGAGAGAGAGAATATATACACA